CATCTTATTACATATTTTTATGATGTGTTACGTTTTTTTTGTGACAAATGTTATATATTTTTCTGTTAAGAGTTATGACAATTTGTGATTGAAAAATAAAATTATGCATTGTGATAGTGTTACGTATTTTTTGTAATAATGTTACATATTTTTTTATCTAAATATTTTCCAACCACAAAATGTGTAACAATATACAAACTATGTAATATTACTATAAAAATATATGTAGCCTTAAATCTCAACCACACAATACACCACTTTAGAAAACTTTAAGAAAAAAACACTCTAGAGGATTCTTGGTGAATTGTCGTAACTCCTACCAAAATAATATGTAATATTTATCACAAAAGCATGTATCCAGGTATATATGGTACCCAACATAGTGTTTCCCTTGATTAACAACATTGTCTTAGTACAAAAATGTTAAATGCCATACAACTTAACCTGACTTACAAATTTTTATTACTAATATTCCATTTTAAAACTTTAAAAAAATGAAACATAACCATTAATATAAGGGTAAATTATAGTACACTCCCTTAAAACTTTAAAATTCAACAGTTAATCACCTTAAAGTATTATCATGTTACAGCTAATATTTTTTGTTAAGATTATTAGAGATTTATACAAAATCAGATCATGTGTAAAATACAAGACACATTTATTGAATTTTTAAGGTAATAATGCTCTTATCTAGTAGTCTCATTTCTATTTGTCACTATGATTAAGGAAACAAAGTACAAATAAAATCACCAGAAAAAATATTATCTTTAAAAATAATAAGTGTATCATGCGTTTCATACATGACCTCATTTTGTTTAAATCCCTAACAGAATTCTAATAAAAAGTGGCAAGTGTAACAAATAATAGTTTGAAGTGGTTAACTAATGAGTTTTAAATTTTAGGAGGACAAAATGCAAATGAGTCATAATTTAAGAGAGTTTACTATAATTTACCCTCAATATAATATTATATATGGCACATCAAGAAGGAGAAAATATTTATTAAATTTATTACTCTGTATAGCATTACCTTGAAACTCTGTCGGGGTTGTTAACAACTCCGCCGGTCCCAAACCCGGGTAAAGGAGGAGGGTTGTGTGTTAGGTAGCCGACAACCAACACATAAAAGACCGTTCGGATCTCTTATGACAATGAATCCTACTTTGAATCATTTAAATGCTAGGTCGTTCCCCTTAAGTGACGCGTTGCGCCTGCTACCGAGTGTTTCAAAAAATGAGCAAGGGGCGCCGCATCGATGCCTGACGCCTGGGTACAATGAAAAATGGGCAAAGGTTTCCTTGTTTTTCTAGACGAGTGCGGGTAAAGAAGCTGGTCTAAGACTATGGGTTTAGGGTAGCCACTTGGAATATAGGAATTTTAATTGGTAAGACGATGGAATTTGTAGATGTTATGATTAGGAGGAGAGTTAGTATAGCTTGTGTACAAGAAAATAAGTAGACAGGTAAGAAAGGAAAATTGGGGATACCGGTTTTAAACTGTATTATACTGGTAAGAATAAACGCAGGAATGGAGTAGGAATCATAATTGCCAAGGATCTTGTGGAGAATGTAGTAGCGGTTATTAGGAAAGGGAATAGGATTATGGTAGTTAAACTAGTTATTGAAGGGAATATAATGAACGTTATTAGCTCATACCCCCCTTAAATAGGATTAGATGATCAAACTAAGAGGGATTTTTAGGAGCAAATGGATAAGATCTTATAGGAGATACCCATAGAAGAGAACTTGGTTACAGGTAGAGATTTTAATGACCATGTAGGCATAGATAAACTAGGCTTTGAAAGGGTACATGCTGGATACGATTTTGGTGATAGAAATGAGACTGAAGAGAGTATTTTAGATTTTGCATTGGTTTCTGACCTGGTGGTGGTCAATACTATGTATAAGAAGAGGGAGCAGCATTTGATAACCTTTAAGAGTGAGTCAATTAAGAGCCAAATAGATTATTTCTTAGTGAGAAAAGTGGACCGCCTAAAATGCAATGATTGTAAGGTGATTCCTGGATAGAGTCTGGCCTCTCAACATAGGATTTTGGTACTAGATTTATGTTTTAAAGGGCAATACCAAGCTAGGAAGGATGGTGGGCGTCGTAGGACGAGATGGTGGGACCTAAAAAGGGATAAACTAGAAATATTTAAGAATAAAATGTATAAGGAAGGTACTTGGGACTTGGAAGATGATGCTAACACTATATGGAACTCGATGGTTAATTGTATAAGAAGAATCTCAAGGGAAGTGGTTGGAGAGTCGAAAGGAACGGGACCCAGCTCTAGGGAAACTTGGTGGTGGAGAGAAGAGGTTTAAACAACAGTTAAGGCAAAAAAAGAGTACTTTACAAAGTGGTAGAAAGATAGCACTGACGAAAACCTTAAGAGCTATAAATTGACTAATAAGGAGGTCAAGAAAGTAGTGAGAGAGGCTAAGTTGAAAGCTTATGATGACCTATACATTAGACTAGATAGTAAGGAGAGAGAGAAGAGGGTATAAAAACTTGCTAAGATACGACAGAGGAAAACAAGAGATTTTAATCAAGTTAAGTGCATCAATAGTGAGGATTCTAAGGTATTGGTGAAGGATGAAGAGATTAAAGAAAGATAGAAGAATTCTTTTGAGAAATATGGAGGTATGTCAATAGAGGAAGAAATAACCAGTAATACAATAAATCAAGACTATAGGTTCTATCGTAGGATTAGGAACTTTGAAGTGGAGATTGCACTTAAGAAGATGAAATCAAATAAGGCTTTAGGACCCGATGATATCCCAATTGAAGCTTGGAAGTGTTTAGGTAAAAAGGGGATTGCTTTGTTGACTAGGTTGTTTAGCAAAATTTTATTGACTAGGAACATGCCAGATGAGTGGAGGAAGAGTATTTTAGTGTCAATCTACAAGAATAAATGAGATATTCAGAATTGCAACAATTATAGAGGAATCAAGCTAATGTGTCATATAATGAAAGTGTGGGAGAGGGTGATGGAATGCCAATTTCGAGATATAACAGAGGTGTCAGAGAATCAATTTGGGTTTATGTCTAGTAGGTCAACAATGGAAGCGATCCATATCTATTGAGGAGAGTAATAGAAAAGTATAGAGAAAAGAAATGAGACATTCATATGGTGTTTATCGACCTTGAGAAAGTATATGATATGGTAGGTGTTAGAGAAGAAATGGGTGACAAAATATTACATTGATATGATTAGGGACATGTATGAAGGGGTGGTAACCACTATTAGATCGATTGCTGGAGAGACAAATGAATTTCCTATCATTGTAGGGTTGCACCAAAGATCTACCTTAAGTCCTTATCTTTTTGCTTTAGTTTTGGATGAGTTGACGAGAAATATTCAGAATGACATACCATGGTGTATGCTTTTTGCAAATGATATCGTGCTAGTAGATGAGACTAGAGAATAAGTTAACACAAAGTTGGAGATTTTGAGAAAAGCACTTGAATCTAAAGGATTCCGGATAAACAGAATTAAGACAGAGTATATGGAGTGTAAATTTAGTAACAGTAACAATGAAAGTAGAGGAGAAGTGAAGATTGAGAATCAAGAACTGCCTAAGAGTGAACATTTTCATTATTTAAGGTCGATTATCACAATAGCAGTGGGGATTGATGCGGATGTGGTGGCCCATAAGATTAAGGCGGGATGGTGTAAGTGAAGAAGTGCGTCTGGGGTATTGTGCGATAAACGAATACCCACTAAATTAAAAGGTAAGTTCTATAGAATGGCTATTAGACCAGTAATGTTGTATGGGACGAAGTGTTGGGCAACCAAGAAACAACATATAGATAAGATGAGTGTGGCTGAGATGAGGGTGCTAAAATGGACGTATGGCAAGACTAGACAAGACAGAATTAGGAATGAGTGTATTCAGGAATGGGTAGGAGTAGCATTGAAAAAGGATAAGTTGAGAGAGAATCGATTGATACATTTGGTCATATTCAACGGAGACCAACAGAGGCAATAGTGAAGCGATGCGAGTCAGTGACGGTAGATGGAAGTGTTAGGGGACCGAGTAGGCTTAGATTAATGTTGGCTAGCGTTGTAAATAGAGATATGGATCTACTTAATTTGACTAACAAAATGGCTTTTGATAGAACCGCGTGGAGAAGAATGATTCATGTAACCGACCCCATTTGATAGGACTTAAGGCTTGGTTTGGTTTGATTTGGTATAGCATTACCTTAAATAATAAAAGGGTAAACTACCAATGGGTCCTAATAGTTGGACTTAATTCTCATAAAGTCCTATTAAAAATAAATCTTGATAAAATTGTCGCTAAATTTTTTTTTTTTTTGTGACAATTTTTTATATACGTCGCTAAAAATTGACAATTAATGACTTTTTTGTCATGATTTTTATAAATTTCGCTAAAACTTACAATTAGTGACTTTTTAATGACAAATTTTTCCTATAGGACCTATTAGACAATAAATCCACTTATTAGGATCTACACGTAAATACCCCAAAATAAAATGAGTGGTATCCTTTGGCAATTCATTACAAAGATTCTGTGTACTTTTATTTTAATTTTCTAGCTTAACTCTCTTCTCTCTTTTTTCTAAAAATGAATTCCATAATCAGCAATGGTAGAGGGCCACAAAATCAGTGGCTCAAATGGCTCAAAACTGTCAAAACGACGTCGTTTTGGGCGCAAAATGACGCAAAACGACGTCGTTTTGGCAATTTTGAGCCATTTGAGCCACTGATTTTGTGGCCCTCAAACATTTTTCTTCCATAATTAAAGAATTTAAGACTGAAGAGTGAAGCTCAAGACTAGAGCAAGTCCAATTGATTCAAAGACGACACACTTATTCTTGATAAAGGTAAAATCAAGCATTGCATTAGCAGATCATATAAATTTCATAATTGTTTAAAGTTTAAGTTGGACTAATATTGAGTTAGATAATTTTGTTTGAGACTATAAACTAAAAGCCTGAAATATACATGAAAATGATAAAGAAACCATAAAATGGTCAAATTGAATCTTCCATTACTTTTAACCAATATAAGCAAATGTCAACACACTATGCAGGTCCCCTTCTACGGTCCTTTCCTATCAGAATAAAAGCTATAAAAGAATACAAAAACTTAAAAGAAAAATAAATCAAAAGATCTTCCTCCATACCCCCAAGCCGGGAATAACAGGGACAAATCAATCATTTTATTATTAAAAACTTTTCTACACTTACTAATGTGTGGTTGTTACCCAATCCAAAAAAAAAATTAAATTTAGAGGACATATATTCCATGACACCAACTGTGTATAGCATCTAAACTTGTCTCCAAGAAGGTTGATCTTGTCCTCGTGTATGAAAAAGAGAACCGATGGAATTTGCAACCAATGATGATTTCACTGGCTGATAATCTTTCACTTGCTATGCTTTTTGGCTTCACTGTATAGGATCACTCCAGTGACTGTGAGTGAGTAGCCAAGCATCCCAGTAATGGAGACGGGATTTCTAAATATTAAAATCGAGACAACCACTGCCACGGCCCCTTTTGCATTTCCCAGTACCTGAAAGGATTGCAAATTATTTGTAATCAAGCAAACATCAAAGTTTCTTTGAAGTTGTTACACGAGGGAATAAAAAACTGAGGAAAATGAAATAGAGATTGTACCATCCTTGGACTACTGGATGCATTCCAATACCAATATGACAATTGTCATACTTATTTATTTGTTTGATAGGTAATGTAGGGAGACTCGAACATCAGTCACTTCATTGGTGTTCTCTTTAAATTAATATAAACTTTCCCAGTTTTAAACAAAACATAAGATAAGATTTGAATGGTCAGAACAACTCCAGTCAGCAAGGAGAAGAATTGCTGCTAATGGTTAAAAAAAAAATGCCACCTCAAAATTAACATTAACTGAACGATAACTTTTTCCTAAGCATGATATGATGAACAATGGTGTTAATTGTTGGGAACCATACAAGCAAGTACATTTCCAAAGTCAAATCAAAGTAATGAAGTTTAAGAAACAATACCAGTTGACTGGATATGAGCTTCTTCACAGATAAGAGAAGTGTACAAGCAGTCACCAAATCTGCCCGTCTATTGCCTTTCTATCTTACTTTATATTGAAAATTATTGTCTTGAGTTTCAAGTAAACTATCCTACCTGTCTGCGCATGATAAGTTTTGACTACTGATCACTCCCTCAGAACTCTCAATAGCAATATATCATCAGAACAAACCTCACTTAAAAAAGCCACAACTAGGAAACAAAATAAAGGTTTACACAAAAATTACGACACGGCTAGATATTCATCCTTAATTATTTTTCTTTCTATTTTCCAAGGTAAAATAGTGTTTTCCAAGCAGTGTTACCATAATACCCTAGTAATTACATTTTGATACACATGTTCCAAAACATGGTGTACACTTTTGTCACAAAACAGTAAATTTAGCGCTCCAAAAAATATTTTCCAATATAAACCTAATAAGTTGCCTTACGAGGAAAAACAAATCAAATAGTGAATTTTTTGAATGACAAATGTAAAAAATGGGTCATAATGCTCATAAAAATGTATTATAACCTTATTAATTTGAAAAAGAAAAGCAACATTTATTAGATGTCTAATTGTTAAAAGAAAATTGCTCTATAAGCACCCTTCAATTCTAAGAGTGCAAGTTTACTCCTATCGTCCTACATCACCACGTACCCAATCCTGTTCCACATACCCAAACAATTCACATTCCCCAGTAACATAGTTACAAAGTAACATAAATTTTATGCAATAGTATTTGGATGTATGATTAATTAGATCTCTAGACATACTTATTGGATGTATGATTAATTAGACATCTAATACTATTACCTAAGCATCAAGTAACAGGCACGGGTACATGACAGATTTTAGAAGAGTCCATGTAATAGAGGGTACCAACAGCAAGAAATGAATGTGATCCCCTTCCTTCAGCCACACATGCTTTTTGGAAATGTATTTGAGAATATATTGATACCTAAACCAGTGTCCTGCTGCTATAGTTAGCTAACATGAACATTAGCATCAAAATGTCCGGTTTTCAACAGAAAGACATGGCAGTTTAGTTCAAAATATATATTTATCCTTGTTGGTTTTATAGAGTATCTGTGCATGATCCACTTGCCCGGATACACACTTTTTAAGTATAAAAATTATGGTAGAGCACTCTTTCAGGTTTCTGTTTCAGATTTATACATCATGAACAATTCACTTCATAATCATATAAATAAAACCAAAATCATAGAAAATCATAGATTGGGTCCTAAGAATTACATATAAGGAAACAAAAAGTATGGCAACGTAAGCAAATAAAAACATGAATCAATTCGGTATTCGCAACTGATTTCCCCTGTTGGGCCTTTTCCCTTCAGAATTATATTAATATGATCTCACACTTCATACACTCAAATAGGCCAATCTGATCCCCCACTTTTGCTTATTTCTTTAAGAAGTAACTCAGTGGTTTCTTCTTGGTTCAAGAAAATGATCTTTGAAAAAGTACCAATAGCAAACACAAAAACAGAAAGGGACGCATACCTGTAGAGTCAGAGCACTTGTGTGCTTTGTGACCAAAAAATTGGTCAGATTCACAAAATACGCCAAGGCAGAATTGAATAGCAAATACCATATGATCCTAATATCATCTCTTGCAAGGGACAGGGTAATACCAACTACATCTTCCTCCATGTAGAGTGTTGCAGGAAGTAGAAGTACAACAGCTATTGGAGCCATGTACATGAGGAGGTTCATAGAATTCAACTTTTCCCTGAAAAAAAGAAGAATTGAAATAAATTCAAATGAAAAAAAATGATGCCCCTTCTTATCTCAATTAAAATTGCGTAAGTACACACAAAAAGGTAAATTGTTCATTACCCTTCAGAAGAAAGCAAAATCCCTTGAAGCACTGTTTTAAGTGCCCTTGCAGCCGTAGCACCAACACACATTATAAACCCAAAAAGATGGAAACTTGGCTCACCCTAAAGGCATGAAAAAAGGGGAACAAAAAATTAGAAGCTAAAAAGTTTTACTCCAATAACACCATTCCAAGCGCAACATAATTGGCAGACCCAAAGTTCAAAGTATACTAATTAATCTAGCTCAGATTTATTACTCCCAACTCAATTACTAACATGTATCATCAACACCATAGCCTACCAACAAAATGAATAATGTGACTGACATTTGAGAGTTCCACCACTAGGTTTATTTTTTCACATGACCACAAGTGCAAAAGATAAAAGATTCAGGACTTACATGATTTTGATATGATTACAAAAATGCTCTATTTAGCTGCTGGGAAAAAGTAGAAACCAAAAAAATAATAAATTTTCCATAATCTAAGAAACCAATGGATAAAAAGCTCTTCTCAAAGGAACTTGGTATAACAAATCAATTCAGTAACAGTGAGACTCCATTTTTACCAAGGGAGAGAACATAAAAAGACAAGAAATTCACAAATTTATTTTTCTTTTTGTTTTTTCTTCCCCCTGCTCACTTTACCAGTAAGGAGACTAATTTGGCAACGCTTTTTATCCCTTTTTCAGAATTCTTTTCTTTAGTGAACTTTTCAAATTTTATTTTAATTTCTTTTAGTGGAAGAATTTTAGATTCCTAATTTGCTTTAGCAAGGCGGTTTGCATACGTCTTGCACAGATTTACGTAATCAACACCCCTTTTATATATATAAATATATATTTTTTTTTGTACAGTTTTTTTTTTTTTTTTGAAATAATGCTCAAATTTTTTTACATTTTAGTTTTATTAAAAGTCCATTAAGGGTTATTTTTAGGCTTATTTTTGTCTTTAATAAACTTTTTCAACTTTGAATCCATTTCAACTAAACGTCCTAAAAAAAGAAACAAAATTGATTTTTTTTTTTTAAAGTTCACTAGAGACAAAAATAAATTACTTTTTTCACAAAATTTGACTTATTTTTGTTTTCAGAGAATTTTTTTTATAATTTTTTAAAAATATATATTATTTTCAGAGTTATCTAGTCTTGACCAAAGTAAAATATTTTTGATGTAATTTAAAAAAAAAAAATTTACTATAAATCTATTATAAAAACAGAAAGCTCATTTCAGATTTTGTCCATTTCATTTTCAGTGACCTTTTCAATTTCTTTTTCAATGATTTTTAAAAATTTTAGGATTGTGTAATCAAGATATACCTAAAAAGTTTATTTAAAAAAAAATATGGACTGATTTTTTTTATTATTATTATCAAAAGAAAGGGATAAATGGCACTAGCTAGTTTAGAAAAATATATAATAAAATCTACAAATTTGATATAATTACGTCAATCCGAACAAATGCAAATGATATGTAGATACAGGAATAAATAAAGAATAATATATTTAAATGTAAAATAGATACAATAATATCATTTTTCTATCTATATGACACATTGATGAAAAAATGTAAGAGAGCACACCATAATTATGTTAAATTTGCGAGTTCAATATACCATAATTTACCCACCAAAAAAAAAAGGCTGAAGGCCAAATGATAGTACTTTTTTTTGTTTGCCCCTGTTCAACCTAAGTTTTCAAATAACCCCTTTAAGTTTCAACAGTTGCAACAGCAACAGTGAACAAATTAACCAGCAATAAAAGAAATTATAAATTCAAAATAATTAAAGAAAAAAAAAATTAACAGCAAAGGTTGTTGATTGATTCATACCCCGCTAGCGATGACGACACCAGTAACAACAGGAATGAGAGTGATATAAGTAAGCCAAGCCTCCCTCTTCAACGTCATCAAATAGGCAAACACGGCTGTGAAAAACGGCGTCGTAGCGCCAATGGCCTGATTGAAAGAGACAGGCAAATATCGAAGAGAAATGTTTCCGCTAACAACAGAGGCACAAAAGACCATACTGAGGCAAGAGATCTTGATGAATTGGACTCTGGATCGAATAGTCTGCATTGGCACCATCTTCATCCACGCAATTGCGACGTAGCTGAGCAGAGAACAAGCCGTCATGTGACACATTGTGAGGAAGATCGGGTACTTGAATCCATAGTTGCTTAGCAAGTACTTGTTCAGCAATAATACCCCAATGTTTGAGGAGTACCAAGAGCCCACCAGACCGATCGTGAAGAACCGGCCTGAGCTCTTCGTCGAAGACATAATTGAATCCAACGAACTCAATGCAAATTTTTCCCTATCCTAGGGCTTTCCAAATTGAAAAATGCAGAGACTACGGAGAGAGAGAGAGAGATGTGAAAGGGATTTTGCGTGCTAGGACAGCATTAGGGTTAGAGAGAGAAACGAAGGAAGGAAGAGGAAGAGGAAGAGGAAGAGGAAGAGGAGCATTCGTGAATCTAGTCTAGAGAGAAAGAGAACAAATCGGCAATATAGATATATATGGTGAAAGAAAAAGAGAGGCGTGTAATTTGTGTGTGTTTCTGCGTTTGATTAATTAGAGGGTGTCGAGTTTTGAGGACGACCGACGACGATTATGCTCTCTGCGAAAGAGATAGAGAGAGAGTATAAAACCTGAGGGATTAGGTAAATTACACTGACCTCATTTAAAATTTTAAAAAAATTTAATAAAATTTATAATTGTGACGGAATTATATAAAGTTTTATTAACATTTAATCTGCAAGTCAAAAGTTCAGCCTACACTGTTATTATCATAATATTTTTACTAACTAATTTAATATTTTAAATTTTAAAATGATATAATTTTTTATTTAAATATTAATTTTTATAAAATTAATATTTTTAATTTTTTTTTATTAAGATTTATTAAATAAGATTCAAATTGACTATAAAATTATTTAAATAAATAAAAAAAATTTGTCAAAATTGACGTAAATAGTAATATTTTATTTTATTTCACAGTAAAATATTACTGTATATTAAAATACTCCCTCCGTTCCACAATATTAGTCCCTTATTCTATTTTTTATTGTCCCAAAATATTAGTCCCTCTTCAAAAATCAAGTACAAAATAATATAAATTTTCTGTTTTGCCCTTTTTTTAAATTAATAAACAATATAAAAAGTACAATTATGACATTGATATTCCCAAAAAAATGTACTATCAAAAGAATAATTTTAAGAAATCAACTTTTTTCAAATACAATAATTGTACTACCAAAAAAAGTTAAACTTCCCAAAAGAGACCATTATTTTGGGACGGAGGGAGTAATCATTTATTGTCTTTCTGAACGTGACATAATAACACACAAAAAAAAAAAAAGGATAAATTAAATGAAACTTTATGAGTTCTTTTACTATAACAACAATTAACAAACAACCATTTAAATCAACAATTATTCAACAACAAATCAACAATAAAGATACATGTACAATGTCATCCAAAAGAGAAAAATACATGTGATCCCAATCCATGTTTGCTTATTCTTCTAAGGATTTTTTTGCCTAGCATTATTAAAAGAAATTGATAAAAAGAGACAAGACATAAAGCTACGTAGAGAGAGAAAATGAGGAATTTTTTTTTATAGAGTAATGTTATAGATCATTAATTTGTCATCATTAACTCCACCACTAGTGAAGTAGAAAAAATAAATAAATAAATAATCAAGGCACAAATACACTGTGGTAGTGGGTGAGACCCACTACCACATCATTAAAGCCACCACTAATTAGTAATCTAGCCACCTTCCTTTTTTATATTATTGTGGGGGTGAACTCCACTTTGGTTCTACATTGTAATTTTCATCAGTTTGACACAATTTTATACCATTAAACACCGAAAATTGTCTCTTTTCAAGGGATTTGTTATTAGAAATTGAATCATTAAGGCTCTGTTTGGTTGTGAATTCAAATCAATTTTCAATACGTGAACTCGCGCATGACGTTTGGATATGACGTTTAAAAGTTGATTCCGCGTGTTAATTCAAATTACAATTTGAAAATTCGTTTGGTATCTCGTAGTTCAGTTCTCCGCTTTCAACGTGAACGAAGAGAACCTGATGCGCAGTACCTGGGACACCCAGTCGATCGTCCCCCAGGTCATCCGGCCGGTCGTCCCCCAGGTCATCCCACTGGTCATCCCTTCCTGCCAACTTCTCTACTTTGAACTGTTTGATATTATGCACGAAGAGAACTGTTTGAACTTTTATTTTAAAATGGAAAAATTATTTAGAAAAAACAATTATTCAAAAAAATTACTAAAAAAAATTAATTGACAAAAAAAAATCAATTTTTAATTTCAGTATTTTAAAAATAGTTTGGTTATTATTGTTGATAAAAAAATATAGATATCGATATATGAGTTGTGTGTTTGATGATAAATTATTGGTTGAATTAAGTTTTGAAAACTATTTTCAAAACACATCACCAAACAAATTTTCACCTTTCACATGTCACATCAAACTTTCAAAATTTAATTCAAAATACATCCTCAAAACACAATTCAACACTCTATTTAAAAACCATAACCAAATAAATTTTATACACTCAAATCATAATTCTACAACCCACAAACTCAAAATACAACTCATACGCTCAAATCACGTTTACAAAACACAACCAAACGCAGGCTAAGTTCTTCACAAGCACAAACATTTCCAATTTATATTGCAATTTTTTCATTGTAATCCCATGTATTTTCATGAAATTACTCTTGAATTTCAATTAGTAACATCGTAACATGACAGGCTAAGAATCATATGTTTCTTCAAGAAGAACTATTTCAACTCCAAAAGAAATTTCAATGGGTAGAGTGGGAGAGATAACGTGAGAGAGAGAAAATGAGAGAAAGAGTTGGAAAAGAGAGAGAGCTAGCTGGATGCGTTAGTGTTATTAAGATTCCGTTTGGGAAGAATTAAAATGGGTTTTTTTGGCTATTTTAGCCACAAAAGACAAAATAGGTTATTTTAGCCACAAAAAACAAAACATCACATCCAATCCATAATCATTACACTCTTCTCTCACAAAAAAAGTCAAAAAAGCCAAAAAGCTAAAAAACCCTTCCCAAACCAAGCTTTTTAGCCCAGGCTAAAATAGCAAAAAAAACCAAAAAGTCAAAAAGTCAACACACTTCCCAAACGGAGGCTAACCTCAACTAATAACAAAAAAAAACATATTAAAAAGGCAAGATTGTCAAAAAAAGAAATAAAAAAAATATTTATGTGTCCTCAATCAAGTATAGGCCTCCAGGTGAGAGGATTTATGAAGGAAAAATTTATAAATTGTCCTTTTCACCAAAGAATGACCTCATGGAAAGATTTTGGCCAAATTTTCAAATTATAATACTAAACTACTTTTTTTATCAATAATTTGTTACTTATATGGATGAAAAATTGATTTTGTATCTCTTTTATATGAAAATGTATACTTTACATTATTTATTTTTGTGTTTTTGCATTATCTGAATTAGTTTCTATTTATTTAACCTTACTAAAGAGAGATCAATATAATTATATAAAAGTTATGAAATTTACTGTATTTTTTTTTTAAATCACAAAGGAGGTCAATATAATTTATCATTTATTTTCTTTTTTCAGCTTGAAGACTTTGGTTTTTGGCAAAAAAGTAAAAAAAATTATTATTATAAATTATCACACCACTCTCTCTATTTTTTATACATCTTGTCATAAAATAAAATAAAAAAATTAAAAATTATTTTAACTAAAATAATCAATTCCTAAACGCATCATGTTAAGTTTTTGAAACATTTCATTCAAACTGTGTGGTAATATTTTTATTTTTTTATTTTTTTTAACGAAAGAGATGTGGTTAGGTGCTACCTAATTCTATCCAATTTTTTTTAGGACTTGAATAATGTTATGGGTTTGAATAAAAATTTCAAAATTTAAATTAAATTTAAACTGAACTTGGACAAAATAACTAACGATTTGAAGAATTTGAAATTCGAATTATGTTTAAAAATGTTATAAACAATCGGGTCTCGCATCAATTTCTCAATTTTCATCCATCTCATTTCTTTCTTTCATCATACAAACACACAAATTTGTGGACAATTCAAGTAACCCGAGTTTTAATTTATTATGTTAGGGTTGGGATTAGACAGACAAGTTATACCACAAATCCAGCACTTGCAAATTTAAACGATTCTCAGCACAATTTAATGTGGGTCTAAACAACCTCCTAATCTAATTAAACCCGCTTGAATTGCACCATAAGTGTGAAACATATATATATATATATATATATATATATTTACATTATATTACAATTAAAAATAAGAATCTATCTACACAAGTTTAGTTGCAATATTTTCTTTATTTATTTTGGGCAGTTCTATTTATTTTTTATTTTTAAAGAAGAATTCTAAAGTGATGTTAATTACAACTCAATATGATGTTTAATTATATTTCAAATAAAAAATAGTTACATCCCATTATGATTTTTAATTATGTCTCAAAGTGATATTAGTTACGACTTATTGTGGCTTTGATTATTTTTTTTTTACTTTTTCGGTCCATCTAATGTAGAATGTTTAAAAAAGTAAAAAAAAAAAAAAATACTAAAGACCAAAAAACAAAATCACAAAAAACCAACTATATTTGATTTTTTTTTTTTAACTTTTTTAGTTTATCTAGTTAAGTAACTTTTAAAAGTTTAAATTTTCTAAATTTTATATAAAAAAACTCACTAAAATAAAAATATATTAAAAAAAGTCAATTTCAAACGATTTACAATGTCATTAATAAAATAAATAAATGGAAATATAGAATTAGGTAGAATGAAAAAAAAAGTATAGAAGCAGGGTTTGGTGGAAAGAAAAGGACTAGAACATTCAATTCTATTTATTTATTGTTTAGTGTTGATGTTTGAGTGGAAAAAGATTCCAATCGAACGTGGAGCACGAGCCCACGATGCCAATGGAGTAATTTTTGTAGGTAAGCAGGATTATGTGATATCTTTTATTATTGTAATTAATTTTAATAGTAGAATCTATTATATTTATATGTTGGATGTTTAAGAAATAATAAAAAGTATATATATTTATAATTGGTAGAAAATAAAATCATGTAATATTTTATTAGCATACAAAAATTTCTCCATTTAATGAGTACTTATGTTTTAAACACATATATTAAATAAATCAAGAAACAAAAATATATATTTGAATGAATAAAATTTATTGATAGTAGGCACTTTTAAAAGATATTATGGGTTCGTTTGGCATGAAAGTTTGGGTTGGGTAAAAATAGAATTCTTAGTTTAATAAGATAAAATGTCACATTTAAATCATAATAATTTTATTTTTTCTCTCATAAAAGTCAAAAAGGCTAAAAAGTTTTTTCCAAATGAATCTTTTTAATCCTAAACTAAAAAAAATTAAAAATCTAAAAAATCAAGTCACATCCCAAACAAAGGCTATACAACTCATATGTCACACATAATTAGCATGGGCGAAACAGGAAATACAATCTAGGGTAAGAATAGAAACAAATTCACTACAAAATTAAGATGTTCACTATTATTGTAATTTTTCATTGTGATTAGAAATATATAAAGTAGTCATTCCTCTCAATTATAAATATATAGAAATTAAGGCAATAG